CGTGGTGACTTCTCGAATTCCCTTTCCAACTTATCCATGTATACATTTGCCGAAAGAGGTGAGAGTGGAGATCCCATCAGTAATCCAAATATTGCTGTTAAATGTAAAATACGTGGTCTTCACTGTCAGGTTGTTCAGTCGTCTTAACGATTCTTTCTGTCTCCGTTCTTCTTGCTCCAAAATCTCCAGCAAGGCGCTTACTGCCTTCTCGCCGGAGATGTTTGTGTACATGGATTGTACCTCGAAACTCACCAACCGTGTAGACCCCACAAATGTTGTTGTTCAACATTGAACCAAATCACAACAAGCTGTACCACAACATTTGTGGGTTGGCACACAAGAGATTAGGACATAGCAAGTCATAGACTTGGTATGAAGGATTGAAACAGGATAGAGACGGCGAATACCGTAGCTAATTGTCTGATGGTAGGTCTGTTGTACCAGAGACATGGTACAGGAAGCAAAGGGGCAGCCATGACACTCAGAGGCTTATGACTCGAATTAGTCACCCAGACGCAGGAGAGGGCGAATAACGCCTCAAGTAGGACGGATGTGGTGGCAGGATTCGAGTGAAATAGGTGAACAAGGGGTTGAGTAGACGGATTTTACGGAGCAAGAGACAGACTGGGATAAGACTAGGAAAGAGGACTGCATAATAATAAAGCAGACTCTGATCAACATTCCCTCCACAATGTTGAAATGGGGGAGAACGACATTTGGAGTGTGAAGGTGTCATGCCGCTCAAAGGAGCACACTACACTATATCTAAATGAACAAGGTAAAATTGTAATAGTAAAGGTATGAAAGGATGATACAGGAAACGCGAATAGCCCCGGGCAGAAAGGCACACATTTGGTCAAAGGATCGGCTTCACTTTTCTCTTTGACGAGTTGTTGAATGGTGCTACGAATGGCGATACTCACTGACGATGTCGACTAAGATTCCGGCGAACCGTCTGAGAATGTTCCACGTCCACGGTCCAACTATGGAAATGGTCATGCATACAAAGGACTCCGGACAAGGTGCGTTCCTCTAAGTTTTCCTACCAATACGGCCCTGTTGCGAAAACAAGGTCAAACATCTTCCACAGAACTGCCAGTTGCAACTTCAAATATACCAACATAAGCATATTTATGTTGGAGTACATTTCATTTCGTTTGAACAGGCGACTGGCAGGGAATCGTAAATTGGCCTCACAGGAAACGAATGGGTCCTGTGTCGCTGGTGAATCCTTGTTGAGCCTTCGCCGTCATGTGATGGATTTCGTCCGAAAAGGGCACAAAGACAATAAAGGTGGCCTGCTGCAACCCTGGCTTCTTTTTTATATAAGATGTATTCGCCCAAGTTCGTTTAAGGTGATGAAGGACTGGTAGAAGTAGAATTTTCCCACAAATGATATGAGTTGGACTGACGTTTGAATTTTTACCTAGCTTTGCATTCCCAAAAGTTCTTCTCATCCAGGCCCCAGTGGACTGCAGTTTTGACGTCGCATTGGTCTTATCAACACTCTCAGCGGGACTGGAACCGCGACAGTGCAGGACGGTAGCTTGACACGCTAACCACTCGGCTACACAGCCACGAGCGCCTTTTGGATCACAAGGCAAATGTGAATTTTCAAAGAAGGCCAGGCCTTTTTGCCATATCATATGTTTTTTGTGGAATTGTCGATGAA